TACTTAAAGAAAATCCTAGTGCCTTATTTTCTAGTAGTCACCACAGTCTGAAATCATTTATTCCATGAGTGTAAGCTTAAGGGCAGTTACTCTGCCTGTATTCTTTAAGTTTCCATCTCAGGTCCCTAGCATGTGCCATGCTCTTAGTAAGTGTTCAGTAAATGTGTATCAAGTGAATGGATTTGACTTAGGAGTTGCAGGGCATTATTTGGTCACATCCAAATTCTGAAGTCACATCATCAGTATAGTATTTCTAATAAACTGTCAAAATAGAAAATATTTTTTTCAGAGAAAGTTAAACATTAATCTTGAACTTGAATGGTGCATGCCAAGAAGAACAGCAATCAGCATTTAAAATGTTCAGACTTATTCTTTTTCTCATTGTTAACTTCTGCAGAAATAAATGGGTGTTAGTTGAAGACTTCTCTTTATACGGGAGGGTGGGGATGAAAGCACAGTTTTAAAATTGAGTATTATCCAAGCATAAAAGTGTTCTCTTTTTTTGAGTCAGAGTTTCACTCTGTCTCCCAGACTGCCATACAATGGCATGATTACTGCTCACCACAGCCTCGAACTCTTAGGCTCAAGTGATCCTTCTGCCCTAGCTTCCTTACTAGCTGGGACCATAGGTGTATACTGCCACCATGCCTGGCTAATTTTTTTTTTTTTTTTTTTTTTTTTTTTACTTTTTATAGAGACAGGGTCTCACTATGTTGCCTAGGCTCAAGCAGACCTCCTGCCTCAGCCTCTCAAAGTTCTGGGATTATAGGCGTGAGCTACCTATAGGCGTTGCTGGGCATAAAATGTTAACAGTAGTCTTCTGGTATGCAACTGGGGTAATTTTTCTTTTCCTACTAATGAATAAAACTTCAAAAGTCTTTGCAATCTGTAGTAACTTTTTAGTAACTTTTTTTCTAATTATAAAAGTGTTATAGAAAGAAGAGTGATACTGAAGTATTAAGGAGTGTTAGATATAGCACTTTTAAAAATTAAACTAAGCCTGTGAATAATCTAACCAAAAGTCTTACATTTTGTAACTGAGGCGCTAACAGAGGGCTCAGCTAGGGTTGGAACCCACACCACTAAGCTGTCATATCAAAGCTGTTTTCAGTATCCTGTAGATTACAGGCCCAGCTCCAAAGGTAATGAATCAACTTGGTAAGCCTATGTGTAGCTGTTTTGTTTTTTTTAAGCAATGAGGTCTCGCTGTTGATCAGGCTGGTGGACTTGAACTGGACTCAAGCCATTCTCTCACCTCCGCCTCCCAAGTCACTACCAGCTTCGCATAGCTTTGTTTTTGAACAAGCGCCCCAGATGCAGATCCACTGTGGAGTTCAAGCCTGTACCAGTCTGCACTGCCTTTCAGACCACACTCAGATGCACTCACACTGATTGAACAGATACCTGAATCTACCCTGTTGTCATGAAAATGGCAATGACTTGTGGGTTAAGATTAGTCTTCCTTTTGCATTTGAAAGTTGAACTGTATTGTTATCTAATAATAAAATGTTTTATTTTGTGTTACCTAATAAAATCTTAAATAATAAAGTATTTTGGATGAAGAAATGCTGGGTAGCACCAAGCCAACACTTTAACTTATGTCTCATTTGTATACCATAATAATTCTCATCAGGAAAAGAATGTTCTCTTCTGTTTTTTACATTCCTTGCCTTCCCTTTCATGTCTCGATAACAAGTCCTAAGTTCTTTCATAATTCACTAATCAGAGCTGATAATCTTTTAGCACTCTAAAATATCTTTCTCAACTTCCTTCCAAGATTTGACAAAGGGAGTGAATGACTAACATGTGTTGTGTGGGACACTGGGTTTAATGTTGCACATGTATTTATTTGTTTAATCTTCACAGGACCTTAGGAAATAGGTCTGTATTTTTCAGATTTTTAATTTGTCTGCAACCCATGCTAAACTATTTTACATCATGATCCAGTGACAAAAATCTTCATATATAACGGACAAAAGATTCATGGATTAATATTAACAGCACAGTATAGTCTATTTTCTTTTCTATTTGTACAATGTTGATTATGCTCCACTAAACAATTCAAAATCTACCAGCTGATTGCAGCTCTCATGAAAAATACTGAGGTGAGATAATTTATTATCCTCATCTTATAGATGAGAAAGCTGACAGGTTAAGTAAACTTCCCAAGTGTCACAGCTACTATGTGATAGAACTGTGATTTGAATCAGGAGCCTGGGCTCTTACTCAATTTGCTAAACTGAATTTTACAGTACAGATAATTTCCAGGATAAATTGGACCTCAGGATCATCTCTGTCTGGTTTCTGTTTTAGGGAGAGAAAGAGTGTGATCCCTTTCACCACTCATAAAGGTCACAACCAACACTCCTGTAACAAAATATAGGCTAAGAAGAGAAAAGCATAACATTTATTTAATCAGAGTTTTGTATGACATAGAAGTCATTAGAAGTAAAGGCCCAAAGACCCAAGGGAAGATTTTTATGCTTAGATTGATGACGAATGGACAGTCATGTAATTGGACAAAAGGAACGATCTAATAGCAATGGACAGAAGGGAAACCCAGCCAGGCCTGTCCATGTGGCATTCTTTTCTCCTTCCTGAAATGAGGGTCTTATGATCTCCTTTTAGATAACATGGGTCTGAGAATTTCTTTATAGCTAGCTCTTACACAGAAAGGTGGGAGAAGGTTAGAGTAATACTTTTAGGTTTTATGTTTGACTTTGAGGGACAGCGTTCTAGCTTCCATGACCTGCCTTGGAAGAAGAAGAATTTTAGTTTCTATCACTTACTTTTGGGGGCAGGAAGGAAAGCAGGAGAAGGTTAGAGACAGACTTGACTTCCCTAACTTTCCAGTGCCCTTCAGCATACCAAAACAATACCCAAAGTATTTGCTTTCAGAGGCAAAGGTGATTAAGAGCTCCAACACTGTGATAGGAAAAAAAGAGGGTCTACTATACAGGTACTCCCTCTCAACCCTGTCTTCTACCTGCCAGGAAGAAGTTGATTTGCTGAGCATATGACAAGGAGAAAGATGAGACCCTAAGTATCTGCAGGCTGGTCTTCTGTTACTGTAAGGAGCTTTGGGCGCTAGGGGACAGGGCAGAAATATCTAACTGGGATGTTTTATTAAGTTATCTAGTGTAACTTTGAGGGAAAACTATCTTCTAACTCCCTTCAAAATTTTCAGTAAAGCTACCTGCTCACTGATACTTGAAATATGAATTTGGTTTTAGGGATTTAAATCTGGTCTTAAGGCCAGGACCAGGTCAGAACAGAGGCAGCCTGCTAGGGCTGGCCACATCTGAGCAACACCTCAGTAAAAAAGTACCTTATATTCAATTGCCTACTGTGTTCAGGGCATGTCCTAGGTACAGGGGAGGCAAAGGTGATGAAGACCTGCCAAATGGATTTTTAGTGAATATTGACTAGATTAGAGGAAAAGCTTCTTTGTGTAAAGAAACTTGAGTCATCACCATGCTTGTAGAATTCTAGACTTGCAGCTCCATGCCGACAGGTTCTGTCCTATCTACCACTGTATCCCAGCTGTCTAGCACAGCACCTGACATACTCTAGCATTTGCTTTTTTAAAATTATTATTGATTAATTGACAAGTAACTCCTACAGTATTTAAGAACTCAAGTCAGGGAGTTAGGTTATTTACATCTGTCTGCAAACATGCCTTATCCAGTGATATGAGCTTAGTGTTCTGTGATCAAAATCAGTTTCCTTTGCCTTATAATTTGCTTCTGAAAATATTGACCAGTCATCTGTAGCACCCCATTTTCTTTTCCACTGGACTAAGTGACATTTCATTGTCTAATTCCTTAGCATAGGAAGTAAAGAACAAGTCTGTCTTCTCCTTCCATTCTTTCAAACCAGTAGGTGGTCATCAAGCAGCTGTGACTTAAAAGAAACCCTGTACCTACCTGAGAGAGACCAGTGCCTCCTTCCTGCCCTTTAGAAATATCTGAACTGGCACTGTCAGCTCACACATCCTGAGGGCCCAAGTGTAAACAACTAAGATGTAGCAGGAGGGGGCAGACAGAGACACAGAGGCAAATAAGTGATCCAAACAGAAAGTGTATTTAAGAGATAGGGGTTTTTTTCAGAGATAAAGGAATAGTGGGAGGATAGAGAAAGGAAGTTGAATATTGTGTATATGGAGACAGGAGACAGGGTACCATGTGAAGAAAATACAGATTTGCCTGAATTTCACCTCAGAATATAGAGTGAAGAAGTAGTCAAGAGGAGGAAATAGGTATAACTAGCATTGAAAGTGGCATTATTTACCAGTTAACAATATAAACAGTTATATGAACCATTTTAGAAATCTTCAGTCTATACTCTGAATGAGTAATAATAATTTTGCATTTGCAATGTGAGGCCTGGTAATTTATGTACTTACTATATCTGTGAGTTTTATTTCCTTTAATTTGTTTTTCTTTTTAAAAATTGTTTTCTTTGCTGTATAGAAATATTAGGAAGAGAGAAATCACAGTCTCCCCCTGCTGGATATGACTGGTAGAACCTGAAGATTTAGGTTAGGTGACATACATTTATTTTTCCAAATTTTGTATTGTGTTAAAATACACGTAACAGTGGGTACGGTGGCTCACACCCGTAATCCCAGCACTTTGAGAAGCTGAGGCTAGATGATTACTTGAGCCCACAGGTTCAAGGCCAGCCTGGGCAACATGATGAGATCTCGTCTCTACAATAAGTAAAAAAAAATTAGCTGGGCGTAATGGCACGTGCCTGTAGTTCCTGCTACTTGGAAAGCTGAGGCAGAAGGATTGCCTAAACCCAGTAGGTCAAGGCTGTGAGGCTCTGACTCAAAAAAAATGAAATAAAATAAAATATACATAACATAACACCACCTTAGCCATTTTTAGATGTACAGCTTAGTGGTATTATAAATACATTCATAATATTGAGCATTCTGTGACTACATAAGAACTCGTTGACCTCAACTTTCACATTCCAAATTTTCTTCCCCACAGCCTCACTAAGCAGTCTTTTGATTACGCCTTTCCCATCTCCAAGCTCCTCTACTTCCTCTTCCAGCAGTTATCAGCGCCGCTGGCTTCGAAGTCAGACAACAAGTTTGGAGAATGGCATCATTCCAAGGAGGTGAGTTACAGGTTTCCTCTTGCTGAGAAAAGTACTCACGCAGACAACTCACTGGAACCGGCAGGGCACCCATACATGCCTGGTGTCAGTGTAAAAAGAGCCCAAACTTCTTGGTTAGTTTCAGCTAAGCTTGAAAACTTCTAAGGAGGGAACAAATAAAAGCTAAAAAAAAAGAAAATAAAAAAGTCTTCCTTTGGAAGATACTGGATAGTTGTTCATGAGCTAGATTTGGTGTTAATTTAACATGAGTGGGCTCTCTCTTTGCATTGGATCCCTTTCAGATGTAGACATTATAAGTAATGAAGGGTGGGCTAAAGCTCTTCCTTGGCTACAGTGATAATAGTGTGGGATTTGCAGATACATGAGGTCAAGGGTTTTTGTGACATATTCTCACTGTAAAACTTAAATTCTTACACAGACATGAGTATGATTATAAATAGAGATGACCTCTAGACATTTTCTGTCTTCATTTCTCTTGGTTTTCGGATCTAAAGTTGAGCTGTGCGCAAAATGTATGTTTGATGTTATGTTAAGAGCTTCCAACCTCTTCCTACAGCCCAAAAATCTTTTTTTTTTTTTGAGTTGGAGTCTCACTCTGTCGCCCAGACTGGAGTGCAGTGGCCGCTTCCAGCCACCACAGCCTCGACCTGCTGGGCTCTGGTGATCCTTCCGCCTCAGCCTTCCAAGTAGCCGGAATTACAGGCATGCGCTACCACGCCTGGCTGATTTTTTGATTTACTGTAGAGATGAGATCTCGCTGCCCAGACGGGTCTCGAACCCACGGGCTCAGGCAATCCACTCACCTCAGCCTCCCAAAGCAAAAATCTTATAGGGGAATTTTTCTGTGTACCTATAAAAAGTCACACGTCAATTAATTGATGTGGTAAATTGACTAGGACTCACCACATGTGGGGATCTATAAGGTATAGAGTTGGTTTAGCTACATGTCTGCACTTAAGGAGTTTACAGGATGTGTGCACATAAACAATGGTATAAAGATGCATGAGAAATGCTACAAGGACACAGTAAGTCCCATGGACTTAGAGAATGGAGAAAAACATAGTGATGGTCATGGGGGGAGTTGGGGAACCCTTCATGGAAAAGAGGGTATGAAGGGACAAGCTAGGAATGAGGGGTCAGTGCGTGCATGGTGCACACAGCAGGCTTCTTGCCTCTCTTCTCCTATCCCTCTCACAGTCCCAGGGGGCCAGGTAGAAAGAAAGATTGTAGCTGTGTCACCCACCAAGGAGCTGCCCTCTGACTGGTGAACGTGAGTAAGATGATTAAAGGCATGGAATTAGGTGTGAAGACAAGTCCTAGCTCTGCCACTTACTAGCTGTGTGGTAGAACAAATTAACCTGGGTTCTAAGAGTTGCTTTCTTGTCTGCAGTGTGCATATTTTACTATTGTAGCCTGTGAGCATGGATGGAGGTTACATGAGATAAAGCAAGCCCACTGTGTAGCCAGGATATGGTCAATAAAATACTGACCAATAGAAATCATTTACCATTATTGTTGCTGTCATTGTCATTACCATTCCCACAACTGTCAGGAGAAGGTGCCATCACTGTCCTCACTGTCATTATGATGGCTTCTGTGATGGGAAGAGATGGATCTTAGAAACCTTCCCTTTTAGAAATCTTTCCTTATACTGAAAATGCATTTTCATCTCTTCAGGTTTAAATCCAAAGAGGAAATAGTGTTCCTCAAGTCACTTTTTCAAAATTCTTCATAACTCTAATTGGAATTCAGACCTAGCATTGGGAACTAATGAATCTCTAGTGAACATATTCCTAAAATAAATATATTACGTTCAGAAAGCTCATGAATATAGAACACACTAGATTTGTGGGACTAGTGCAAAATGAAAATGTACCTCTTGCCCAAAAAACAAGAAAAGTGAATTGATGGTACTGAAAAGATATAATAGAGACAATGGTGGTAGATGAATAACAACATAAGCTTATAAATTCCAATAAATAATAGTTTGGGTGACATACTTTTATATAATATGATAAGTAAGTAATGTGATACCTTGGGTCATAAGATTTTTCTGGCTCACTTTCCTGCAAATTCACTGGTTGGGTCATCAAAATTTATACTTTTAGCAACTTGGCTTCCAGTCAATATAAGTGAAAGTGGTGTCAGTTGTTTGTGGCAAATGATTTTTGATATTTTTTTTACCTGGAGTAGGATCTTTCTGCTGATGCTACATAGCTTTATGTATTATGACAACATTGGGTTAAATATCTGATCAACTTTCAATATACAAATTTTAGTACATCTAGATCAGATGATTCTTATGAAACAATTTTTTTAAAAGATTTAATTCTTCACACAAATCCACTTTGTGTAAGTCTGAATTTAATTCTAGATGTAAATTTATACGAGGTTATTTTAATGTCTCTTCTGACATTTCCTGTAACTTGTGGAGATCTTATAAGAAACTAAAAATGCTCTCATGAGTTATATATAATTCAAATTGCCTGTTTATGTATTCTATCACTGTCTTTAATTATGAAGAAAAGTTTTTAAATGGTCATTCTCTTTAATAATTTGTCATCTGAACTTCACATGAAAACAGCAGTTTTTTATGTCCAGTAGCATAATTTTTACATACAATTTCTGTTTCTACAACTATGACTATTTGCTTTGCAGTGTTATAGCAGTTTTCAAAGCCAGAGATTATAAACTCCTTGCAGATTTATAACAACTCCCTGATATGCTTTATTATAGTTTCCCTGTGTAGGCTTTTCCTTTTTAATAATTTGCTATTGTGGGACTTTGGTCAGAGAGTTGAATATTTGTACAGACTCTGTAGGGACAGGTTCCAGTGATGGATGAGCAAGCCAGCCTCCCACCACAGCTCAGAGAGCTGCCAGAGTCTCTCCTCTTCCTCCCCCCAACCCTCCTGCTGCTGCTGCTTCTGCTATCACCACTGTCACGGCCATCGATCTGGCTCCAAGTTCCAGCCTTGCTGCTTTTGGGTCTTGTAGCATCCTGACCTGCCCAAGATTTGTGTGTGTGCCAGGCTAGTTGCTCAGGGTTGGGGTTGCATGCCCTCAATCCTGGGCTCACACATGTACAAATTGCTGCCAGTGTCTTCACTACTCATGTGCATGTGTAGGCAGGAAAGGGTATGATCCCTTTCCTGCCATCATAAGTGTCACGACTGACACTCCTATAACAAAATACAGGTTAACAAGGGAAAAGTACAACATTTATTTAATCAAAGTTTTACATGATGTGAGCCTTCAGAAATGAAGAACCAAAGACTCAGAGAAAATTGGTTTTATGGTTAGGTTTGATGAAGCATGGATGGCTATGAAGAAACAGGATTGGACAAAGGGCATGATCGAAGGTAGTAGACTTAGCAGGCAAACCCAGTAAGGCCCATCTGTTCTGATTCTTCTTGGCCTCTCTGTGTAGCATTCCTTCCTCTTGGATATGGGGCAGGACCCCTTCTGGAATGAGGGTCTTATGATCTATTTCAGAAAAGATAGGTCAGAGAATTTTTTTTATACAGAAAGGGAAAAAGAGTAGTATTTCTAGATTTTATGTCTGCCTTTGGGGTAAAAGGAGCTTCTGGTTTCTGTGACTCACCTTTAGGAAGGTAAATTTTAGTTTTTATGGATATCCTTGGGGTGGCGGGGTGGGAGTAAGGGGAGCAGGAAAGGACAGGAGAAGGTCAGGAAAGTCTTGCCTCTGAATCCATTTTTTAGTTTAAAGCACTCAGCATGCCAAAGTTCCATACTTTGAGGTATCATTTTCTGACTCCCTCAACACATGCTTCATTGTCTCATTAGATTTCACTTAAACACACAGGTTCAAAGATAAATTAGTGAAAATTCAAGATGGTGATCATAGAACATTAAGCAAAGCCTGGGGCTTTTCTGAGAGCAGGGCCCCATGTGAGCAGGGCCGTGTACCCTTGGAGCTAGCTCTTAACACAGCACTGTTGAGCACTGATGATATAGGTATGGGAAGTGTTTTGGATTTATCACTCTGCCTGTGAAGGTCTCTTTGTTTTAGGGATATTGCAGTTGATCTCTCCCTTTTGACAGATATGTGGCTGGGAAATATTTCTTTTTTTTTTTTAAGAGGCAGAGTCGCTGTCTGTCTTTAGGCTGGAGTACAGTGGTGCAATCAGAGCTCACTGCTGCCTCGAACTCAAGCCATCCTCCCACCTCAGCCTCTGAGTAGCTGGGACTGCAGGTATATACCACCTGGCTGTTTTTTAAAAATTTTTTGTAGACACAGTATCTTGCTGTATTCCCCAGGCTGCTCAAATTCCTGATCTCAATTGATCCTTCTGTCTGGGCCTCCCAGAGTGCTGGGATTATAGGCATGAGCCACCACGCCTGGCTGGGAAAATTAATTTCTCATGCTATAGACAGAACAGTGGGTACCAAACATTTGTGATTGCTTCTGGCTTTGAGAGAAAAGTCACAGTAATTAAAAGCATCCTTCCTAAGAAAGTAAAGGTAGTCAGAAATGATATTCACAATCCTTTTGTTGTTGTTGCTAGAATTGGACAACACTTTATAAAATAGAAGGAGTGATCCTGATATTCACAATTCTTAGCAACTGGCTCCACACCAGCCTCAGGGACCCTGCTGTGCCAGAGGATAAGCTTTGAGCTGGATAGGGAATGGAGCTAAGGTGTTTAACAGCAGGTACACCTGTACTTTCTATAGAGGAAGAGAAGCCTCAGAGATTCCACCACTTAGTGAGAATGTTGAAGCCCTAAGGAGCAGGGTATAAAGTCCCAGGAAGCCTTTTGATTGGAATTATTACATTTAACCAACCATATAAAGCTACTGATGGGATGTTCTTTGACCTACAAAACGTCAGTTTCATATGATCCAATGTAATACGTAGATTCAGTGTAAGTTCACAGCTGACATAAACAACAATTAGATGAAGCAGTCTTGATATCAATTATGGATTGAGATGTACCTAATCATAGTTTTGTTTTATTTATGATCTTGTTGTACTTATAGTGTCAATATAAATGCACCTCCCTCAGTGCTCCAGCTAGCAAAATGCATTGGGTGGCATAAGCACCAGCAGGTGGTTTAGGCTTCGTGTCACGGTCACTACTTACTTGCAATGTCTAATAAATGAACCTAAACTAGAAGATAGAACCCCTGGGTTCTAGCTCTAGCATTGTCACTAAGAAGCCTTCTGTTCCTGAGGCAAATTAATCAAGCACCCTGCCTCAGTTTCCACATTTGCAAAACAGCCTCTATCTTACCTGGTGACTTGCGGTAAAAATATTTTGAGTATTTGGATGCATACTCAAATTTTTTGAAACTTTCTCAAACTTGCTTTGATTGTAAAATGACATTTACATTCTTTTATGATCCCATATAACCTGATATATTCTAGGTGGCATGTTTGATCCGAGACTATGGAGCCCAGTTGCTTGAGTTCAGTGGAGGGACATAGAGAAGTAAGGAAGACTTGTCCACGCGTATAACTGTGGAAGTGTTTCAGAAATTCAGCAGGTGGCACTCTCTACTATGTTTAAACTGGTAGAGAGCTAGCTGCTGTTTATAGGGTGATGAGAATGTGAGCAAAGCTGAATAGGGCTTATTGTTGAATACAGTTTGATTATTAAAGTCCAGTTCAGCCTATGATGAATGACTGATATGGTCATTTTACTTTTTAAAAAGAGGGGAAATGGGAGATGCCTGACAAAGAAGAAAGGACTGCAGTAACTCTTCTTGTGATACAAGCTCAGAAGAATTTCCTAACCAGAAGAAAAAAAAAATTCCTAAACATAGAACAAGGAAGCAAGATCTTAATAGCAGCCCAGCCATGGATCTAGAGACCGTGACTTGGGAGACTTGGAGGGCTGGCAATTGTCAGTAGTGGTTCTACCCTTCAAGATGGAAACTGAGCCCAAATGGAGCAAAGAATTTCAGGTACTTTGGAAAGGAGGAGGGAGCATTGTAAGAAATTGTGTGAAGTTCTAAGGAAGCCTCCAGAATGTTTTTCTGATGATTAGGATCCAGGGATTTCTCAGAGAAAGCTGTTGATGGTTTATGGTAATGCATAGCATTTATAACAGCACTCATCTGGAGTGAGAGCCTTTTACTAATTTATCAGCCATACTTACATCTCCAGGATCTTGCTTGAAGTTGCGGGGAAGCAGTAACATATAACCAAGGTTAGAACAAGATGTCTGTCTCCTTTCCTTTAAAAATCAAATAGTTTTCCTGACCATACAACTTGTCATGTATATATGTTTAATAAAAGCTGGATATGTTTGTTCTTATTTTTATTCTTTTTTAGAGACAAAGCCTCACTCATTCTGTTGCCTAGGCTAGAGTGCAATGGTATAATCACAGCTCACTGCAACCTTGAATACCTGGGCTCAAGAGATCGATCTCTCTTGCCTCAGCCTCCCCAGTAGCTGGTACTATAGGCCTGTGCCACTAAATGCCCAGCTAAATTTTTTAGTTTTAATTTTTTGTAGATGGAGTTTCACTGGGTTCCCCAGGTTGGACTTGAACTCCTGGGCTCAAGCAATTCTCTTACCTCAGCCTCCCCAGTAGCTGGGCCTATGGGTGCCACCATACCCAGCTTAAAATCTGGATAAATCTGAAGTCAAAGTAACGTTATAGGCTATCTATAGAGCACTAAATAAGAAGTTTAAGGCCAAGGGCAAAAGGCTAATTGCCTCAACTTCTGCCCAACATAAGTAATTGTATTGTAATTTGTAGTAAAGACAATGGAACAAGCAGTATCTTCTCACATTTGTCAGAGATATCGGGCTAAATGGTAGTCAGTGAGAAATAGAAAAGGTTTTACATACCACTGTGTGTAGGCTAGGTGCTTTCATTTGCAATAAGTTAGGTCGTTTGTTTTGCTGTCTTTGTAGAAAAAAAAATTAATTTTGTTTTTACTCTTGCTATTAGTAGCTTTGTGGTAGCTGTGCTGGCTTTTCTTCCCCCCCCACCCCCCTGAGTTGGAGTCTCACTGTTGCCCAGGCTGGAGTGCAGTGGCATACTCATGGCCATCCCAATGTGGACCTGCTGGGCTCCAGCGATCCTTCCACCTCAGCCTTCCAAGTAGCTGGAACTACAGGCATGTGCTACCATGCCCAGCTAATTTTTGATTTATTGTAGGGACGGGATCTCACCAAGTTGCCTGGGCTGGTCTCAAACCCGTGGGCTCAGGCAATCCACTTGCCTTGGCCTCCCAAAGTGCTGGGATTCGGGCTTGAGCCACCACGCCCGGCCTGTGCTGGCTTTTCATCAGACTTAAGTAAGAGATATAGACCATATTTGTGAAGCTTACCCCTTAAGACAACTGAATATGTATTCAGAATTTATGGGTTTCCTGGCTTCCTTTTCATAGAAGCAGAGTCTCTTGGGAGAATTATATGTTTGTTTGTTTCTTTAATTTGACAGTAACAGAGGAAAGATGAGTCTTTCTGCTTGAGGGATTTCCTGGAGAGTTTAAGCACATGGCTTAAGCTGAGCATTTAGAGGTATAGAGGAGTTGCTTCCTCTAGTGGATTAATAGTCTTGGGAAAGTCATCCTGGAAGTACCAGTAGAAATATTCAGATATGACACCTTTGTTAAACAGAATGCCATGTAGGATCATTCCTCTTTTGATGTCTCATCTGTTGGTATCTATCAGCCAGAACAAAGGGCCTGTGTTTTGAATGAACAGATATCTCATACTCCTTCCTAAAGACCATCAACCTGACTTAAAATGATCCAGGGGAAAAGGACAAGAGTCTAACCAGAGGTCATTTAAATTACTTCTAAGTTTTTATTTTGTTTTTGTTTTTTTGTATTTTTTGAGTTGGGGTCTCATTCTGTTGGCCAGACCGAATGCAGTGACACAATCACAGCTCACCACAGCCTCAGCCTCCTGCAATCAGGTGATCCTTCTGCCTCAGCCTTATGAGTAGCTGGGACTACAGGTGTATGCTACCACACCTGACTAATTTTTAAAATATTTTTGGAGAGACACAGGGCCTCACTATGTTGCTTAGGCTGATCTCAAACTCCTGGGCTCAAGCGATCCTCATGCCTTGGCCTCTCCAAATGCTGAGATTTACAGGCATGAGCCACTGTACCCAACCTTGATTTTCGTTTGAAGTTTTTTTCATGTTAGGATAACACTGTGTGGCAGGCAAACTGATGTTCTCTTTCTTTTTTTTTCTGTTTTGTTTTTTTTTTTGAGTCAGAGTCTCACTCTGTCACCCAGGCTAGAGTGCAGTGGCTTGCTTATGGCCACCCCAGCGTCGACCTGCTGGGCTCAGGTGATCCTTCTGCCTCAACCTTCCAGGTAGCTGGAACTACAGGCACATGCTATCATGCCTGGCTAACTTTTTGATATATTGTAGAGACAAGGTCTCACCAAGTTGCCCAGGCTGGTCTCAAACCCCTGGGTCAGGCAGTCCTCTCGCCTCAGCCTCCCAAAGTGCTGGGATGACAGACTTGAGCCACCGCGCCCGACTTGTTCTCATTTTTTATGACAAGGAATGAGAAAAGAAGTTGAACTAGAGAGAAAGAAACTTGTAGTTAGGATTTTGAGTGTCTGGATTCTCTTTCTGAATGTTGTTAACTGACATGACAGTGGATCTTCAGTGTGACTTATGGACACATGGCAACTTTTCAAACTTACTTTTCCTCCAGGACAACTGATGAGACATTCAGCTTGGCTGAAGAAACCTGTAGTTCCAATCCAGCTATGGTTAGAAGGAAGAAAATTGCCATCAGCATCATCTTTTCCCTGTGTGAGAAAGAGGAAGCACAAAAGAACTTCCAGGACTTCTTCTTTTCTCATTTTCCCTTGTTTGAATCTCACATGAACAGACTGAAGAGTGCAATTGAAAAGGTAATGAGCATGTGATCCGGTGTCAAATAGAGGAGCTGTTATGGGCTTTAAAAAGGGTGGAGTCTCTCTTCATCTCAGATCACCTTCCTAAGGGAGTGACATCATCCAGAGTGGTAGAGCCTTCAGCGTGTCAGTGTCGGTTACCAGGCACCGGGTTGCTTCAGGAAAGGAGATTACTGCTTTTTCATGATTGACGGCGTTATTACCTTGAGTGTTTTTAATTGATTACATTATATTTTATTAGTAAAGTTCAGTAGATAAGTTATACAATTTATTCTCAAAGAGTAAATTGGCTTGCTTTTTCTCTTCAATAAAGGCCATGATCTCCTGTAGGAAAATAGCAGAGTCGAGTCTCCGAGTCCAGTTTTACGTCGGCCGTCTGATGGAAGCTCTGAGAGACTTCAGGTAAAATGCAAAGCTTGGCACACCCAGCAGGGAATGTTAATGAGTATCAGTAGCAGCAGCAGCCATGGATCTAGGGGTCAAGAAGAACATGACTTGGAAGAATCATGGAACTGGCAGTTGTGAGTCACTTTAGTGGCTCCAGTCTTCAAGCTGGACACTGACACCAAATGAAGAAAAAAATTTAAGTCACCCACTACTGAATAATCCACTACTACTACCTGACAGACAGTCCTTGATATGATTGTTTTTGCCAGGGTGAATGGAGAAAACAAGTATTTAGGTGTCTTTCACAAGACTGTTCATTATCTCATGCCAGCCTCACAAAAGCCCTAAGGGTAATAAGCACTGTGAACCCCACTTTACAGACGTGGAAACTTGAGCTCAGAAATGCCTCTTCAAAACATAGAGTATGCATGTCAGAGAGACATATGTTCTGATTTGCCAAGATAGTCCTAGTTTATAGCCGGTGTCCTCTTGTAAGTGTCCTGGTCTGGATATTGAACTATAGGATCACTCTGGTATCTTCATAGTCAATTTCTAGTTGATGAGCAGAGTTCTTGCTCCTGGCTCTGATTGGGAAGATGAACGGCTTTGAGCAGGAGGGAGTCTTTCCCGTCATGCTGAGTTGGGATCTTTGCACCATTTCTCAGAGCCAATTTCTTGATGGGGAATGGAATCCCACTCCGAGGTAGTCATGAGCTAATTCTATAACTGAAGGATAAAAAAAATTATAATTGTTAGAATATTTTATGATGCTTATAGTATATGCTGGTGAACTTTATGCTGCTACTGGAACAAAACCACAAACCTTTGAACTCTGGCTTATGTGTAAAGTACTCAGGTAATACATTACTCACTATCTATTGATTGTTAAGACTAAAATCACATATTTGAGAAATCATGTGAAAGTGTGCTTCATGAGGGGCATCTGGTAAGTAGCAAACCTTCCATGGTTTGTGTGGGCAGTGCTGGACTTGCCTGTTGCTCTGCCATGGTTAGACTAGACTCTGGCATTTGCTTGAGAATCTGGATCCTACTTTAATAAAAGTATCCATTTCTCCAGGGTTAAGAAACTGAAAGTACAGAAGTAAAAAGCCTCACTGTGTGCATAGACAGAGCTTGTTCTTCAACACTCAGCCCTTTCAGAAAAGGTGACACCTTAGTTTTAGTAAATGAGTCTCAGTGCCATGTGATGGGAATTTGTCATCGCTTCCTAACTCTACACATGCTCTGTTTTTTTGTTTTGTTTTGTTTTGTTTTGCCAGGGTAGAGTTCTGTGGTGTCTTAGTTCTTTCATGCACACACTTAGAAAATCAAGTCAGAATATATCTCCTGTATTTCAATTTGGGAAGAGTAGGTTTTTTTAAATATGTAGATATGGTGGCCTTTTACCCAGTGGCAATACTAAGCTAAGTTAGTGTGCCCTTTGCAAAAACACTCGTAAGTCATGTGGCTTATAGTAGAGCTTCCCGTGTCCTGAGAACTGAGTTCTCATCGTGCCCTTGTCATTTAATATTTGTATGTCCTGTGCAAGTAACTTAGTCTCTTTAGACCTCCATACAAGAACTTAGCATATGGTATAGTAAGCAAGAGCCACTTTTGTAGTTATCTAAAATCAATAGGATGCTTTGGCTTAGTGACCCAAAGCACAAACCAAAAATTGGGAGAATTGAGTTGCCTCTGGTCACATTTTCAATATAGCAGCACATACTTTCTTTCTCCTTTTTTTCTTTACTATAAAAATTGTTGTAAATTCTGACATAGGCATTGTGAAAACAAGTTGTTCTTAAAATGAATATTTTATATCAGGGGTTGGCATATTTTTTCTGTAAAGAGTATCTATAGAAGCAACTCAGCTTTGCATAAACAATATGTAAATGAATGAGTATGACTGTGCCCCAGTAAAACTTCATTTACAAAATTTAAGATGGCAGTCAGATTTGGCCTGATATTTGTGGGCTTGCCTCCCTTAAGGACTCTGTACATTCAAGATTTTTTTTCTACATTATTCTTGTACACCAAGATTATTCAGAATACCATTTGTGACAATTTTGTGTATCTCTTCTTTTCTATAGGGACACTATATGGAACTTATATTCTGTTCCAAGGATAGCTGAACCTGTATGGCTTAGCATGATGTCCAGCACGTTGGAGAAAACCCAGCTCTGCCAGCGCTTTCTCAAGGAGTTTACGCTTCTGATAGAACAGATCAACAAAAACCAGTAAGCTTCAGCTCTGGAGACTTGTATGCAAATTCTACAGCCAGTGTATGTGCTGCATAGGACATGCCTCTTCCTGCATTGACTAAGCTGGTTGTGTCTTCCATTTCTCCAAGGTTTTTTGCTGCCTTACTGACTGCAGTGTTAACCTACCATCTGGCCTGGGTGCCAACTGTCATGCCTGTGGATCACCCTCCCATTAGAGCCTTCTCAGAGAAACGCACCTCTCAGTCAGTGAACATGCTGGCCAAAACACATCCGTATAATCCTCTCTGGGCGCAGCTGGGTTCGTACTTAATTTGACTATTCAGAGAAGATATAAGATGAAATAGGAAAAATGCTAAAATGTGTAGATGATACTGGCTGTCCAATGCTGTACTTCATGGGTTGTCATTGGGCAGCAGAGAATAGGAGGTTGACCCATGGTTTCTGATTATAAGGCCACCACCTTCCTCTCCATTCCTTTGTGGCATGTTGGCTCTGCTCTCTTAAAGCAATAGGTGAACCATGTTCTCCCATTCCTGTTCTAGGCTACGCACCCTAGAACAGTGTTTCTTAACCTCAGTGCTCTTGACATTTTGGACAAGATAATTTTTTTGTTGGTTGGGTTGTCTTGAGGGAGTGAGAGGAGTTCTCTTGGGCATTATTGGGTGTTCAGTGACATCCTTGGCCTCCGGTCACTAGATGCCAGTAGAAGTCCTCACTCCCCAAAGTTGTAACAATCAAAAAATGTCTTCAGACATTGGCAAATGTCCCCAGGAGGGGAGTTGGCAAACCACTGCCCTAGAGGATAGACTGGACTGGATTTTTTTGTTGTTGAAAGTCTTCAGTCGTTCCCAACAAACAATTCAGCAGGGTCAGGCTGTTGACAGGAGTAGGGAAATGGTGCAGACACAGGGTGGCTTTGTAAGGCTAAACGTGTTGGGTGAGTTTCCATTACAAGGAATCAGGGGTTTCAATAATTTGACAGAGGAGGCACTTGTTTCAAATTTTATTGTTTTCATTAAGTATTTAGCACATCCAGCAAGTAGGAAAATAGAAACTGCCAAGAATATACAGTGATGCAGGTATAATCTTAATCCAGGTTCCTAAGTAATGGAAAAGGTTCTATCTGGAATGATCTAGTCCTCTCAGAGCTTGCTAAGACAGGCACACTGCCATACCCACCTCTTCAGGCTGCTCAGGGTGCCAGGAATGCAGGATGCAGCAGCGATCCCTTCACATTCCCAGGCTTGTGTTCAGAGCTCAGTGACCCTGCCTCTGCCTAACATGTGCTACCCTCTATACAGGGGGGTTGCCACCCATTAGGTGCTGTGGAAGCAATTTAGTGGATTAAAAAGGCATTTAAAAGACATAATAGAATAGAAATACTACAGTGACTTACATAAATGTTTCATAAAATGTTTGTTTCAAAGGATGTGTGAGGGCAGTTATACAATGTATTTCTTTCTTGGTCTGTGTGTGCAACGTTTGCATGCCACTGTGTCTATACCACTACTGAAAGGGTTCTGTGTCGATCTCTTTTTGACTTAATGATCTCAAGGGTTTGTGAAAATGAAAAGCAGCTCTTCTCCTCATAAGAAGTTTGAGAACACTGATTTAAATTATTATAAGTTAAAAAGTCTGAAATTTGTTCTTCATTTTTTCCCAGTAGTTTAAATTGTATATTTCAGAATGCAGTGGACTTAGTCTATAAATCAACTTTTTTAAAGGAAGAAATTTCTACCTGCTCAGGAATGAAGCAACCACATTTAAATAAACTACAAGCCAAATTTTACAAAAAAAGTTAGAGAATATTTTGAACTAATGATAATATAGACAAAGGTCAAAACGTGGGATGTAGGGAAGCACTGTTTAAAGGGGAGCCTAGCCAGACATTATTAGGATGTCTTCTTCAGTACATGTCCCTGCAACACGCTCAATGTCTTTTTCATTTTCTCCCAGCTTTTCCCAGCTTGGGTTTGTGCTTCCTGTCTCTGTATTCCAGCCTCTCTCACCCTCTCTTTTTATAGCCTCCTGATTCTCACTCTCTGCCTCCTTCTCTCCCCCTTTCCAGTTTCTGTTTCTGTCTTCTCGCTGTTTCCCTTGACGTGTTTTCTCCCTCTTCCTCCCTCTGTGTTTCTTTTTCCTATGCATGTTTCACCCCCTTGCTGTCATCCCCTCTTTCTCACCCTCTTTCTACTTCACTCTGGTTCTCTTTCCTTTTGCACCAATGCTCATCTTTCTTCTTTCACCTTTCGCTCTCGCTGTCCTTCCCCTTCTCCCTAAATTCCCGCTCTGTTCCTCTGCCTGTCTCTCCTGCCCCAGTCTCCACTCCATCTACTGCTCTTTGTCCTCCTTTCCTTTTGATCTCTCCTCCCACCCTGGCCATTGTTCCTCCCTGCTTCATGCACTCTCTGTCCTTGGCCTTTCTGTTTCACCTGCAAACACTCATTTTACTTTTTACAGCTTCCTTTTTTTTTCATCTGTTTGTCTCCCATTTTCTTCTCTCTTTTTAGAATTCAAATTTTTTTATTTATATTTTTTTAGACAGAGATTTGCTTTGTTGCCCAGGCTGAAGTGCAGTGGTATGATCAGCTCACTGCAGCCTCAAACTTCTTAGCTCAGGCAGTCCTCTCTCTTCAGCCTCCTGAGTAGCTGAAACAACAGGCACACACCACCACACCTGGCTGATTTTTTAATTTATATTTTGTAGAGACAGAATTTCACTATGTTGTTCAGGCTGGTCTTGAACTCCTGGGCTCAAGTGATGTCCCTGCCTCTCAGTCTCCCAAAGTTCTAGGATTACACCGTACCTAGCCTAAATTTTTCTTTTTAGTTGAAGTTAAAAACATAACAGAGTTTATCTTATGAACTATTTCTTTTTTGGGGGGTCAGAGGTTCACTCTGTCACCTAGGCTGGAGTGAAGTAGCATGCTCACTGCCACCCCAGCCTCAACCTGCTGGGCTCAGACGATCCTTCTGCCTCCGCCTTCCAAGAATCTGGAACTACAGACATGCACCACCACACCCAGCTAATTTTATTTTTATTTTTATTGTAGAGATGAGGTCTCACTATGTTGCCAACGGTGGTCTTGAACTCATGGGTTCAAGCAGTCCTCTCACCTTGGCCTCCCAAAGTGCTGGGATTACAGGCTTGAGCCACCACGTCTGGCCTGTTATGAACTGTTTCTAAGTGTAAGGTTCAGTAATGTTAAGTATATTCATATTGATGTGAAACCTCTTCTTTATTTAAAAGAAACTACACTCACAGAAGCAAAAAAATCTACTCTAAAAATTAGTAGCTTTGTTAATCCAGGACTCAAAAAATTGTCTTCAAATTAAAGATCCAGTAAATCTTTAATATTATGGGTCTATTATTATTGTAATTAGAGGCAGGGTCTCACTCTGTCACCCAGGCTGGAGTGCAGTGATAGGATTATAGTTCACTGCAGCATCACACTCCTGGGCTCAAGCCATCTTCCTGCCTCAGCCTCCCTAATAGCTGGGACTATGGGCGTGTGCCACTACACCTGGCTGATTTTTAAATTTTTTGTAGAGACAGGGTCTCACTATGTTTCCCAGGCTGGTTCTTGAACTCCTGGTCTCAAGTAATCCTCCCACCCTGACCTCCCAAAGCACTGGGATTCAGGCATGAGTCACAGTGCCTGACCTGGTCCTGTCACTTTAATGAGGGGTTATTTTATGAAGTTTGGCGTTAAAGTAGTAGCACTGGTCCCACACACATTGTTTTCATTAAATAGTTTAAATGATCATAAGTTATATTTTTAATAACCTTCCTTGTTTTACCTTTTCCCACTTATTCCCTAGACTTTAAAATGTACAATACTAAAAGTTAAATGCATTAGTAAAAATAATACTGCCATTGTGAGTGGCCTTTCCCTGTGGTTTGTTATACCAGATTATAGATACATCATGCTTTTCCTTTATGAACACTGAGACCCATTTAACAAAAATGTCCCATGAATTCCTGAGATCTCTGTGATCTTCTGCAGTAATAGGCAGATGTAATCAAAGGAAAGTGACAGTAATAAACTGGTAATCAAGAACGTTTTCTCAAACAAAAGTCTTAGTATCAGACTACAATTCTGAGCTGCTGTTTTGAATTCAAGGATGATTTGTCAATCAATTGCATAAGCCTCACAGTTAAAGTTCTATTCGCCTGTAAAATAGTCTTTTTATAGAGTGGATTGTTTGTCATTATTTCTGTGCTGCCCTTTGGATGTTCTTAGGAGCCTTTCACTAGTGAATACTCTCCAAAGGAGGTACTTCCCCATGGGTCCCAGGGGTGAATACATCCTGATGGTTCTCATAACTTTTTTCTCATCCTTCATCTATTCATTTTAATTAGCTTTACCTAGAACATACCCTTATTAAATGCCTTTCTGCCTCTCTTTAGATGCACTCCTCAGATGGATTCTAACTGCCTACATGTTTTTTTGTTTAATTTTTAAGAGACAAAGTTTCGCTCTGTTGCCCAGGCTGGAGTGCAGTAGAGCCGTCATAGCTAACTACAGCTTCAAACTCCTGGGCTCAAGCAATCCTCTAGCCTTGTTCCCAAAGTGCTGGGATTGCAGGTGTGAGCCATGAGATCTGGCTCCTATGTTCATATTTATTTAACTATTACCTTTTGTCACTTCTCCTTTATTTAGTATCTTCAGCTTTTGATTGTTCCAACATTCTGGTTGTTTCTTTAGTGGTTTCTAACTCCAGGTTAGTTATACAGAAACATATTAAGATAAATTTTTAGACTTTTAGCACAGTGGCTGTCCAGTCAGTCAGTGTTGACTCTTTATTGTAATTATCCATATTATTTTTATCTTCATCAAAGTATCAAATGTATAACTTATTATCAAGTATAATAATCAGGTTATGAAATCCAATTGTTTTAATAAGTGCTTAAATACTTTGATGAAAAACTCATGCTGCTGGATGGGTGGGCCACACATTGCCCTTCCTCTTCCATCTTCAGTGGCATGTGGAGCCCATGGCACAGTAACCAACAAATTTTAATCAACTTGTCAGGATGTAGTTAATGGGATGTATTTTTTTCCAGCTGCAAAGTAAAATAAGGAAAACCTTCAGACTTATTATTCTTGACTAAGTGGTTTTTTCTTGTTAATAAAACTGATTCTACGTGTTGTGTGTATGTATATTAAAAGAACTCTATGCAGACCACCTCATTAAGTATTTTGAATTGATCCACTGTAATTTTGTTCAGAAATCTTTGAATTTGGATTTCATCCCAAGGCCCATTCCCATTGTCCTGGGATTCTTCTAGCAAATTCTTATTATTGTAGTTTCCAAGGGGTGTATTAGATCTGGTCACATATTCAGAGCCCTGGATTTGGCCTTCCTCGAGCCAACTTACTGGCTGACTCTGAGGACAGCAGGGAGAACCTCCTAAGCACAGTGAGGGGCTGTGCACACAGTAGCTTAGCCCCCATGCACCGAGGGTGGGGGTCACAGCCTGAACCAGGACCCTCCAGACTGACACTCCATGGTAGAAGCAAGACAGAAGCGTGGCCACTGCTAGAAAGTAAGAATCGGGTGTCTGAAACAAGCTGTAGGTTGGGAATTTGAGTCGTCTGTTTTGCTCTTGTAGAGGCCAACATGTCCATGACATGCTAACCCAGAGGCTGTTGTCTTTGTGTCCACCATTGCTCTCCAGGTGATCTTTATGGAGCCATCGGCTCTCCAGTGAGGCTGACTCGCACCGTGGTGGTAGGGAAGCAGAAGGACTTAGTCCAGCGCATACTTTATGTCTTGACCTACTTTCTCCGTTGCTCTGAGCTACAAGAGAACCAGCTGAACTGGAGTGGGAATCACAGTGAAGGTGACCAGATCTTAAATGGGAGCAAGATCATAACAGCCTTGGAGAAGGGTGAGGTGGAGGAGTCTGAGTATGTGGTTGTGACAGTGCGGAGCGAGCCTGCTCTCGTACCCCCGATCCTACCACTAACTGCGGCTGAGAAAAGGAACCCCCATCCCGCAGGCTCAACTGAGACCCCAGAGGACATTGACATGAGAGACCTAGGTCCCAGACCTGACAGAGAAGGAAGCAGCAGGCCAGAACAGAGTTCTGAGGCTGGCAGCGTGCGATACCAGGAGCCAGCACTGGAGAGTTCTTGGAAACCTCAGGGCACATTTGGAGAGACTGAAGAAAGTAGAAAAGAGGTACCCCAAGGTTGTTCTTCAAGATTCTCCAGCTGTGAAGTTCTGGGGACAGAAATAAAGGTCAACCAACAAACTGTCAGTGAGCCGTGGAAAGTGGAGATACCCAAGAGACTGCCAGACCGCTCGGTGGCCTGGCCTTGCCCCAGCAGGCATTTCCGGGAGAAGTTTCCCTTAGAAAAGGTGACCTTCCAGATCGGAAGCTCCGTGTCTCCTGAGTCTGACTTTGAAAGCCGCTCAAGGAGAATGGAGGAACGGGTAAAGGCCTGTAGGCAAGACCCAGGGTCAGCCAGCAGTCCCTCAGCCAAGTCCAGGGTGCCCAGGGACTTGGCTCAGGACCAGCAGGTTTCCAGGTGCTCCTTCGAGCCTGGCTTCCGGGAGGATGCCTGCCGTCCTCAGCCTCAATCTTCCGAGGGGGATGGAGGTGAGTCCGACAGGGGTTTTGCGGAGGACAGAGGTATCAGGACCGACACGGTGGCAGATGCTGCCGAGCAGCACCACCACATTACTGACTCATGTGCAGCTCCCAACAGTGGGGCGGGGGTCCGGGGGAGCACACTGGAGAGAGCCAGGGGACAGTGCTGGCAGGAGGTGGAAGGACTTTCACTAGCACCTGTTCCAGCCAGGTGTGTCCAGCGGGACTCTGGCCAGGTGCCTGTTGCTGATGTCCCCTGTGGGGATGCCGACAAGAGGGCCGACTGCAGGATGCAGGGAGACATCCCCCGGAATGAGAGCTCAGACAGCGCTCTTGGGGACAGTGATGATGAGACCTGTGCTTCAGCCATGCTGGATGTAGGTCTTGGCATGGAAGCGTCCTTGGAAGTGGAGCTGCCTCTGCCCAGGTAAGGCTGACAGGCTGGGGAGCAGAGGAAGCAGGGCTCAGATACCATCTTTCTGGCCTGACCCCCATTATCACATTGGCTGCTTTGTACATACTGTGTTTTCCCCAAAGTGTTAAAAGTGTTATCAAGACTATATCGGTGCTTTCTCATCTGCCTTTTCCCCAGGGATGATCTCTGGCCCAGCGCAACTGAGCTCAGATGCAGTGGCCAGTGGTTATGTTTGTTGCTGTCATGGCATTCTGGGGAGGCTAAGGGATGTGGTGGGGTGGCAGTAGGGAACAGAGAGTTAGTTTTCTGCCACCTGAGGGAAATTATGTGGCTGGCAGCAGATGCCTTGCTTCAGAGGGGGCAGATTACACACGTTGCGGGGCCTCTCTCTACCCGCGAGAGCAGTGTGAGGTAGCGGGAAACAGCATCTCTTCTTTAACACTCCATCAGGTTGATTATCTGGTCTGTGATGACTGAAGGCAGCAATTAGAGATTTCCTCTGTTCTTCCACACTGTTGTGGGCACCACCCTGTGCAGATATGTCAGATTCCTAAGCCAGACTTTTGGCAAGAGCTCCTCCTCAGACTGTCTCTTTCTTCACTCTTTGAGTCTGTGTCAAAAGATTGTCTATGCCTGGTGAATGTTCAGTATAAGATACAAAAACTCGCAACCAGCCCTGGAAATAGTTTTTTCCCTCCTGGCCTTCCATTTAAATAAACTCCCTTTTCTCTCTCCATCCCCTTCCTCTTCCCACACCCTATGATCCCATTACTGGAAGATTGACAAAATTGACCACCTTGAATCTATTTTATTTACCTGTGTCATTAGGGTTTACCAATTGCAGTTAAATAAAGGAAGTACATTTTCAACTGTGTGTTTGAATGAGCCAAATATTGTTTTAGGTCTCAGAGCATCAGCACTCAGAATGTACGAAACTTTGGCCGCTCGCTACTGGCGGGCTATTGCTCCACATACATGCCTGACCTCGTGCTCCATGGGACTGGCAGTGATGAGAAGTTGAAGCAGTGCCTGGCAGCTGACCTGGTCCACACAGTGCATGTAAGTGATCCCAGCTTGGAGCTTCAGACTGCTGATGGTGTGTCATCCAAGGTCTTGGCCGACAACAGGTGTTTAGACTGAAGAGACTAATAATAAGGGACTGTTTATAGTGATGTGGGCCGAGTTACAAGAACGAGCAAGGGCTGGGGAGCACCCCGGGCCTAGCTACAGCTGAAAGCAGTGAGCATGCCTGGGCCTAAGAGAGTGTGGGGAGGGGACCTGAAATCCCAGCCATGCATAGCCAGTGAGGGACTGCCTGATTGCAGGAGCAGTGAGGGGGATGACTACCTGCCATCTCTCCCCTTGCCCTCTGACTCTTCTGCTTCCTCTTACTAGCTGAGCCCAGCTGGAAGCCAGAGAGCAAGGTCACAGCTGATGCAGAATCAGTCTGTGGTCCACAGAGGTCAGCCTCCTGGGGCCTAACAGGACAGAGAAGGGCAGAGAGCAGCTCTGAGGGCCGTTGGGGGCGCAGGTAGGCCAGGCAGAGCAGACAGAATAAACAGCACAGATGGTGGCAATTATATGCTGTCACAGGGAGGACTAGAGAGATGTCACATATGGTTTGCTTTGTATCCTATCTTTAAACAAGTTCCTAAAAGTAATTTATTTTAACTGATTTGTCATTAAGCTCACTTTGACGACCGTGTGAGGATGACTGTATAAAGATTAACAAGTCTTACTGGAAAATTGCCTCATGACTGGCATTAAGTGCTTTTCTGCTATCTGCAGCGTGACAAGAGCTGAGCAGTTAAGGAAACCATGTCAGTCTGATGGGCCTGTTTTTAATTGAGCTGCTATTGGGCAGATGTGCAAAATAGATGTTTTGCATTAGATACATATTGTATCTTGTGAAATAGTGAAAGTTCTCATTGCATTAAGAAAACTGGAATGTGGCCTGTTACTTGCCTCCTCACCCAGCAAGTATGTTTTTCAAGATGGAACAGAAGACATTGCGTATTGTCTTTGGCCTTCAGCATCTCCTCTGTGAAGACTAAACATACATCAGACACAGGCTAAACAGTGGAGGGTATTTGTATGAAATGGGAAGAAAAACTCAGTAATGAAGCAGGTGGCCTTATAACCCTCTCTATGGGGAGGGCAAAGAGATGGGAGGTTGGTCCAGAGCTGGGAAAGCCAGCGACCCAGTGTACACTGTGTGCCTGGACATTCTAGCCCCACCCTGCTTCGTGGTCAGACACTACCCCTCACAGGATCCTCCTGGGATGAAGCTATGGGTTGCTTTAGTCTAAGTAATATCTGTTTTCATAGTTAGTGTGCTGAATGTTTGTTGATCATCCCACAGGTCCATACATCAGTGACCCTAGAATAAGAACAATGTCCTCGTGGTGGGTGTTCTGAGTTGTCCAAATCGATGTGTGATGCCATGGCAGTTTTCAGACTGCATTTCTATATGTTTAGTAGCGCTAAGGCAGGGAATCAGAGGACCTCATTTCCTTTTCTGTAGGTTGATGTTTATATTCACATATGCAAAACCTGTGGGTTTTTCTTTCTTCACTGCTATCATGTTGATTTCTAAAACCCTGGTGTTGCTCATTGGACCTTTCTTGCACAAAGCCCAGTGTTCTGCTTCTGACAGGTATGTGAACTAATGGGATTGTCCTCAGTGACATCAGTCTTACCAGCTGGGGGGTTTTGTCCAAATCCCCTAGATTCACTCACTGACCACTATGGAAATGTAATCTATTAGTTGATAACCCTCCTTGAACGTATCTGTAAAACCACTCATGAAATGTTTTATGTTTTCCATAGACTGGCAAGGTCTAATTTTTGTTATATTAGATTTTCATGGTGACCACCTGGCTTTATAATTCTTATATTTAAAAAAACATAATCATGTTTACTCCATCATTACTCTTCAAGCTTTTTAATATTTCATTTTCCCTCCCTTTCAGAAGTAGTGTTTTCACACTGTAGCTTTTCTCATTTCTTTAAACTATGTAATCACCCTGAGAGATCGAAAATTATTAAGCATATTAACCTATGTTGTGTTAAATTGTGAGTACATCCATAGTGCAGCCATGCATGGGTGTTAATAGGAAATTGCAGAGGGTTCGTAAAAATAGCTTCAGAAGTTTAATACATTCAGAATATATCCAATTAGCGCTAGTGGATTTCTAATTTCACTTGACACATTCATCATAAGGAATTTTGCTTTTGCAGTGTTCTGTTTAAACTACCTTTCAGACTGTCATTCTGGTCTATGGCAGAGTTTAAAACACACACACACACACACACACACACACCCCAAATATTCAACATCCACTTACAAATATTTGTAGAAAAATATGTTAGGAGTTTTTTAAAGCATTATATTGAATTTACTGCTCCATAAATCCCAGTGGTTATTTAAATTCTTAGGTATGCTGCCAGAGGAAGAAGCAAAGATCCAAGAACAAGTACGTGATGAGAGTTAGAACTGAAATAATAGTTTGTTGAGCAAGAGAAAATTAGAATAAATTGCTTTATTATAACTTGTTTTCAAAACCTACTTTTTGGACTTTAATAATTTTCAGTGTTCATGCTATATTTCATCAGGTTTGATACTTATAATTCTTTTCAGAGAATGATTTTTAATTGTTTACAAGCAATTGATTTAGATGATTAATCTATTTTCTAGACCTGTACATAATTTGGATTGTAAAGTCTTCTTATGTAAATGTGTTTTGTTTTGTTTTTTAAGAAATGGAGAGCTCTCACTATATTGCCCAGGGTGGACTTGAATGCCTGTGTTTCAGCGATTGTCCCTCATGAGTGGCTGGAACTGCAGACATGTGCTACTGCATCTGGCTCTAAACATGCGTGTTATAACCACAAGTTTGGAGTTTTTCTCTCTTTGAAGGATTGCTTTCTAAAGTTTCCAGTACTGAGAATTTTTTTTTTTTTTTGGACTTTTCTTTATCCTAGTCTCTTATGCAAAAAAAAATTATTAACTTTATTTCATCTGTTTGCATTTTTATTATTGACTTTCACATGTTAAGATTCAGAAGCTCTTTAAATATTTAAACACATGTCCTTATTTAGTCCATATACTACCTCTTTTCTGTCATTTGAACTCTTTCTCTGCCTCCTAATACATAGGTTATACAGCTGCCTTAAATTAGTGTAAAGTAATATTGTTTCTTTTCTTTCTGCCACATCTAAATGCACATTCTTTCCTCTGTTTTCCCTTTGCAGAAGTGGAGAGAACCGGCCCACACGCCCCCATACCTCCAGCAGCCTGCAACTGTGACTTAAGTAGCCCCTTCTGTCTTCTCTTTCCTCCTTGCCCTGTCTGCCTGTGAATGCTTCTGGCATTGGTGATGTGGGAGTTATTAAATTATGGGCAGTGTAAGGTGATGGAAGAGCTCTGACTTAGCATTGATGGCTTGAGTTCGAGTCCTAGCATTACCACTCATTCACTGATAATTTGAAGTAAATCAACTGCAATTACTAAGCTTCAGAAAAATGTATTTAGAAGAACAGATGAAATATGATTTAATGCTTAAGAATTTAACTTCTGAAGACAGACAAACTGGAGTTTGAATCATGCCTCACCTTAGTGACTTTATGGCCTTCAGCAGGTGTCTTTAGTTTTATAATCTACAAAATGAACAACACTACTTGGAAGGCTGAGGCAGAGGGATCACTGGAGCCCAGCAGGTGGACACTGGGTGGCCCTGAGCATGCCACTGCACTCCAGCCTGGATGATGGAGGGAAACTCTGACTCTAAATAGATAGATAGATAGATAGATAGATAGATAGATAGATAGATAGATAGATCACTTATGTCATAGTTCTGGTCTGAAGATTTATGAGATAACATACATGAAGTGTTTAACACAGTGCCTGGCACATTACTCTAAATGCCCAGTAAATGCTAGCTATTAAAATAATATATGTAGAAGTGCTTTGTAAATGATAAAGCAATATAACATGTTAATATAGGAGATTGGAATGACAGCTGTGATTTTAGTAAAAATGAAAATTACTATCAGAGTTAAGAAAGTTACCTGCCAGTGTGGTGACATTTCTAACTAGTCAATAGCCCTTTCAGTCCCAGGGAACTCCTGTTGAAGATAGCTGAACAGAATCGTGCACACATTCATTTAATGCTGCAAGCATCCACTTTTACCTGGCCTGTGTTATCCCAAGGAGCAGACCAGGCAGCTCTAACTCTGCAGGGTAGGGTCATCAAGACCAAAGTTAGCATCCCATTTTTATGCTTAAAAAAAAAACAACAACAAAAAAAACTATGGTCTAGGGCTTTGGGCATTTTACAGAATAATTTATAAAATGAAGTAACAGTTGGATATGGCAGCCTCTTCCATTTAATTTTAAGCATAGCAACAGATTGTTGACTCCAGAAATATCATGCAGGAATCAGTAGCACAGATAACAAGCTTTGTTCAAAGCCTGGCTGTGATATATATATGTTCACGAATACCTAATTAGTCCATGCAGTGTAATCAACCAGTACGACTATAAAACAACAATAAGTCCCATCAAATGGTAAATCATTACCTAAGTAACACAGATATCATTGAATGCCACAGGTTAACAGCAACCTTAAAATCAATAGGTTGCAAAAAGAACATCTATGGATGACAAACTCTACTTTAGAACTGTGTTTGTGCTTTCAGTTCCCTGCCTTAGGCCTCTAGCACTGTCTTCCAGGGCTACAGTCCTAAATGCAACACTGTCAATGTCTGCTGGCCTGTGAAGGGTTTTGTAAGCTACATATTTTGACCTATAAGTGGTTTTGATGACCAGCTTTTTAAAAAACGATATAGAACTGAAATCATCACACATAATCAAGCTTATTATTGGTTGGTGAAACCAACACATCACATGCCACACATAAACATATATGTTTATTAATACCAGTCAAACTGTAATCATCGGTGTGTCCCTTTCTTCTGAAGTAAAGATAAATGATGATGAAGAGAGATGGTCATTTTTAAAAAAAAAATAAAGGGGACAAGCCGTGCATTTAGACATG